TTTTTTTTTTTTTTTTGGACCAGCCAGTCGGGCCTGAATAGAGACGTGATGATGATGAGATTGCTTATTTTCCGGAATCCTCAGCATAAGGTTCCAAGGGACATATCGCGGTGCTGATGCCCGTATGGATGTTTATGAAACCTGTTAGCTACGTATCCAACTGTCGATATAGAAGCTAGAATGAGGGTACAACACACACGATCCCAGCAATTAGGTTATCACTTTGAGTAGACTATACAGTCTAATGATCATAGCATTCCCAAGTAACTTACCGTTAATCAAAAAGTACAACAAGTGAGACAATGCGGGGGATACGAGGACTAGCCTGGCTGTGGCGTGGTGGCCGTTTGGTGTGTCATCGGAATCTGTATCCCCCAATGCAACCTAGGACACATGGGTTCACGTGGTTTAGCTTCACAGTTCCTTGGGTGTCCATTTCATTTGCATGTCTTTTCTACCTGAGAAACTAATCTTCTCAGCTAGATTCGTGTTCACTATTCCCCGCTCCCAAGGTCTATCGCTGTTAAGTTTGAAGACTATCAGTGCCATGATGCAATGACAGCACTGCTCTATCGAGATCAATCTTAATCTAATGCCGGAACGGCTCTCAATATTCATCAAAAATAAACTATGACCTAGTCATCAAGCTTGACAGGTCTACCCCAGATCAGATGATGTACTGCGCCCCACATCGCTTTCATGTAAGACAGCGACGCCTTTGTATATTGACAAATCAGTCGCTGAAAGGATGAAGAGACCCACCTGTTCACCAGTGGTCTTTCATCTAGATGCTCCGTATATGGAACGCCTAAAGTTACGGTTCTACCATAGTATATCCACCGAGCTAGAAACATAGCCCTACCGATACGAACTCCATCGGTAATCATTTCCTGCTTGGATCTCAAAGAGTTTCTGTATCTCGCCGCTTCCGAGATGCGTTACATTACGATTTTATTATACACCATATGCCTGACAGCAGGTTCTGGTGATATATTTCTCGGTTCCTGTACAGCCTCTGGAACCTAAGGTCCAGTTCCGGCGTCTTCCAATTGGAACATGCCAACTCCTAAGAGAGATGCTGTCTCACTCTGAGAGACAAAGCCAATCAAGCATATTCTCATTACGAGGACCGTTCAACTGGGTATAGGCCCAGGAATAGGCCATCATAGGCCACCATCATAGAAGGCCTGAGAATGGCATAGCCGGAAGCTGAAAGAGCCGTATACACCGATCATTGTCCAACAGCATCCTGATAGACCGTGGAGGGAAAGGTATAAATTCAACGCGTTGCCCGCCGTAGTTATATCCTTCATCATCACATCAATCACAAGTTTCCCATTCAGACAAACCCCCAAAATATCAGAACTCCCTCATCAACCTACTCACAATCATCCATTTCCCATTTACTTGCCATCAAAATGAAGACCACATTCGCCGTCATCATCTCCATCCTCACGGCCTCTATCTCGGCCGCTCCTCTTGAGGCCCGTCAGTCCAACGACGTGACTGTGGCCCTGTCTAACGACCAGAGTGGTGCCTACGCCGGCGTGAAGTTCCCCGCTGACGGAACTGACAAGAGCATCAAAGCCCTCTATGGCGGCACCTCCGTAGGAGCGAGCGGCTCCGTTCTCGCTTCTTCTGCTCAGCTGGCAGCATTCCCTCAGACCATCCACTGCGTTATTAAGAACAATGGTGCCGTCATTGCGACTCTTGATGCTCAGCATACCTTTGCCGATTTGGACGGAAACCCCGCTGCCGCTACTCCTGTCAACCTCGACCACGGTATTGTCAACTGCCGTGCTTGATGGGATTTTAGCAGAACTATACATCTGTTTACGAAGTTATGGCCGTTAGATTGATGAGTGTAATGAAGGGGTTTCATCGGTGATATGTGTTGAGCTTATATGCCAGAGGGCGGGTTTAATGTGCAAGAGTTTGGTTTCTGATAGTCAATAGCAAGACAATATATGTGCACACCAATAGAAACCCGATTTCACTGCTGAGTCTTTCTTTCAAAGGTTATCCCATCAGAAGGATGTAATTGGTAATATGGAGAATCATGCCCGTAGAATATACCAGCTTATATCTGGTTATCGAGTGACTGAGGACTAAACATAGTGATTAGGCCATATTGAGACTCTCATCACATAAAGTCTTAACCAGGACTTTCGGCAAAATATACTTTACAACATTGAATTCTATCTTGAGCTTTTTTACCTAACAGAATTCATCCGCACATGCTTCTGATAAATTTCCACATCCCCAACACCATAAACAAACCTCACAGGACAAGTCCCTCAAGACTCGAGTAATAACAGCCCAACAGCAGTAAATGATAGGCTCCCATGGAAGTCTCGTGATAGCCTTGCTTATATGAGCGACAGGTGGTGGGCCATAAGATATGCAAGGGGATTGGATGATTACAACCAAGCTTTGTCATATTATGAACATTGCACGTATCTGCCAATAATGACACTGCCTTGTGGATATCTATGGGAAGATCCGGAGTATGAATTTTGCTGCCTACTGTCGACGTGCCATGGGTAATCCCGAACTTAATTTATATACAGATTATCACTTCGGCCAGTTATGATTAGAAAGCTTTAGAAACCACCATTAGAAATATATCGTTGTAGTACTGAAGAGATAAGCGGACCATATGAATTTCGACTGTACTAGTGGTTCAAACTTGTATACTCTTTAATGTTCTAGATTTATTTTTTTTATTATATATACTTACGATATGCCCTGTATCAAATGCGAAGAGCAAGTCTGGTGTGTTAAGGATTATACCGAACAATGCATTATTCTAAAGCAGCCTGGAGATTATTATCATTCATATTCAGATATGGTAGGTGGCATAGTGTCTCATACATATTGTTCAAGATATAAGAAACTTTGTCAGACGAATAGAGTTCGCGGAATTTGCCGGCTGATCACGAATATGATATCATCGCCGGGATTACTTTTTTTTGGGTCCTCTTTTATATGTTTGCCTATTTATTGGAGCAGTGACAGACAAATCGTGGCGAAAGTGAGGATGTCTTAGGCATGCAAGAAGGTGGACGAACCGGCAGTTGAAGGATGGGAATTGTTGCTAAATATAATTTGCTTGGATGGATACGTTGGACCAGTAAGATGGGAGGAAAAACCGTTAAGGGTCCTTAGTGGGGTCCCTATTTTGGTCTTGCGAAATACTCTAAATAATGTATGCAAGGGTTTTCTGAATTTGCTACGGCTGCTTACATGGATTAATTAAGAGAGACCTTGCCAAATAAAATAAAATAAAATAAAAAATTAACAAGATATAGTGTTTATCCAAAAAAATTAAGGTGCAGTGAGGGGGTGAAACGTGACATTTCAAAGTGGACGGTTCGGTGGGGAATACCGCCGCTGAGGAAATTGAAGCAATCTCACCACAAATTAATAGCGTGCCACGTTGAGTGACTGCGTATGGGGTGAGACTGTCAATGCGCATCGAGAAACTTAGAAAGGTGGATTGCCATAGTGTTATATGTCCCTTGCTTTAACCGATGCATGCCTCAGATATCGTGAAATTTCCTACAGGTTGATGTCGGATGACGTGCAGAGCTCTTCAGAGCTTGAAGGTGGCTGGACCCTGATAATGTGACAGATTCCGTTTTATTGGACGTACCGCAGCTTTCGAACGTCTCGAACGTCTCGAACCTAAGATTTTTTAGGGTTGACGTTGACCTTGCTCCGGAATAGGGAAGGTCTATTCCATCCGATCTCAGGCCACTCGATATTGTGCAGAAAGAGATATGTAACTGTTGTTTACGATAGATGGCTAGGGAAAACCATGACAAAATTAAAATAAATCTGGACAGTATGCCTGGCTGGCTGCCGACATTGATAATAGATAATTTTGCTCCTTCAGCAATTGAAAGTGAAGGGAGAAGATAACACCGTAGTGAGACAGACAATCCACTGGACGGGGTCGAGTTATTGCCGTTGTTCAAAGAACTGGACAAGGTTGAAACTATCACCAACCGTCGCTACTAATTCATCTCGACGGACTCGTGTTAGGCCATTGAGAAAAGGGGAGATGAGACGATCGTCGTTCTGGCCGGTCTGTGCTTCAGCCCCAAGCCCCTAACTAATATTAACGAAAACACCCTAATCGAGTCATAATTTTCATGGCCCCCTGATTCGAAATTTTAGCGCGGGAAAGAAAGGGCAAAGCAAAAATAAGGAGCAACTTCTCTTTTCTTTTTTTCTCGCCCAATCCTCTCGGTGTTTTGTATAGGACTAAGGTACCAATCGTCACGACTTTTTTGCCGTCTGCGGGCCAGTAAACAGAGAAAGAGTCGCCTTAATTCCCGGACCGCCTCAGGCATCCATCCGCTCATTCATCAATCATCCATTCAGGTGCTCCGTCAGCCGCGTGTCTCACTCCGTCGCTTTTTCGCTGATTGCCTTCTACCTCATAACCTTACTAAACCTTTTTTTTTTCTTCCCTTCGCTTGTACCGGACAGCTTCTTCCTACGGTTTCTCACTCTCCTTGACTGAATTAACGCTTCTCCTTTGTTTCCCTATTCTTGCCGGCACCGGAGCTTCGTCCTGTCGCAAATCGATCCACCCACCCTTTCCCCCCCAGTTTCCCGTACGACCCGACTCTGCCATCGTCCCAACCAGATTCGGTTGCCTTAGGCTGGTCAATAAACAACCCAGAAACGGGACCTTACCGCGGAGGAATCCATAACTTTGACTATTAAATAATCTTCCGATCGAAGAATCCCATCACAATGAGTGTACGCTCTCCCAATGACGACCCCCTTCGTCTCCACGTTCTTGCCCCTCCCCTTAACCGCATGGTACTTCGATGGACCACTAATTGAACAATTGATGTAGGGCGGCTACGGCTCATACAACCCCTATGGTGGCCAGGGAGGCTACCAGCAAGCTAGCAGCATAGAGGAGGGTAATGGCAACTATGGTAAGCGCGCGTGACGGACCGCAAAACAATCGAATGTCATCTAATCGATCTCTTGGCAGAGATGAACCAGGTGGGTGGTGGCTACGATACTCAGCCTGCCGACCCGACCAGCTTGCTCAACAAGTGCCGTGAAATCAACGATGGTATCGCCGATATTCGCGCTAAGCGCGAGGGACAGCTCGCGGCCGCGCAGAATGGTTTGCTGGACTCGAGCACCGGAAAGGAAGACCAAGTTTCTCGCCAGACCCTAGACTACGTCGAGGATGAAATCAACAACGGTTTCCGCTATCTCCGTGACCTCCTGAAGAAGATCAAACAGACTCCCGGCTCCGGAGACAGCCGTGTACAGACCCAGGTCGATGTGACAAGCCGCAACCTGCGCCGCGAAATCGAGCAGTACCAGCGGGCCCAATCGGATTTCCAGAAGCGTTTGAGGGAGCAGGTTCGCCGTCGTTATGAAATTGCCAACCCCGATGCGACCCCCGAGGAGTTGGAGCAGGGGGTTGATAACGTTCTCATGGGACAGGAGCAGACCTTCCAGGTAGGCGACATCCGCCGAGATCTCACGTTAAGCCCAATTGCTAATATACGTCATTTAGCTCACTGGTAGCCGGACCCGTCAAGCCAACGATGCCAGACAGGCTGCTCTGGAGCGTTCGGCCGCAATTCGGAAGATTGAACAAGATATGATGGAGCTTGGTCGGCTGTACCAAGAAGTCGCAGAGCTTGTGCACCAGCAAGAGCCTGCCGTCGAACAGATCAACCAGGGCGCCGAAGAGGTCGCTGGAAACGTCGCCAACGCCAACACTCAGATCACCCATGCCATTGACAGCGCGCGTCGGGCAAGAAAGTGGAAGTGGTATGCCTTGCTTATCATCAGTAAGTATCACAGATGCCACCATTTGTATCTGGGAGGAAGGAGCTGACCTCGACATAGTTCTCATCATTGCCATTGTTGTTGGTGTCGCTGTCGGTGTAACCCAGGGAAACAAGTAGTCTCAAGACTCATGAATTTTCTGACTGTGACCCTTATGGTCACGTTGGCTTTCTCCGTGAACTCCGATCAACTCTTGTCTCCGACCCTATGCGTTTCCATACCTCTGTGTTTCATGTTGCGATTCCCTCTTCTCGTCTAGTTGCTTTGAACCTTGTATACCCATGCAAGGGCTGGAACGAATTTGTGCTTCTGCTGCTTTCTAATCGATCTGTGCGACTTACACCGGCAGGATGTTCTCCGTGTTATCTCTATGACCACGGTAAGCCCAACCGCCAAATTCTCTCCCTATTTGCGTTGGATCTCTTATGTACTTTTACCCTTGTTATACCACTTGATTGCTGTCTGTCGCGTTTCGTCTGTGTTTGAAAAAGCTTGTCTTGCGAGTGTCTCTACCTTTGCGATTCCTGTTTCCATGGTCTTTGTATTCACTGATGGTCGTGTATAGTTTCCGCATCTTAATCGAATGCGGCCTGATGACTGCTGCTCTTGGATAGGATGCGCATGATACTGCTGCACGTGTATATACTAGAGTTCCTTCGCTTGCTTTGACTTTTGGCGCTAGATCTATGTAATAATCGACTATTCCACTAATCAATCTAATGAGCCATCGCAACACCAGGAATCCGGAGCCAGTGGTAGATCAAATGTGCTCTATTGTAGGGGTTGCCCACACGTTTTCCAGTGTGCTTTCATACAGAATGCCGGATAGAGATTCAAGTCCAGGTGCTGTCACATTATTGGGTATCGCAAAACCGTATCTATATTTACGCAAAAAACATTGTCCGCGATTTCACAATGTCATGCTTTATGCCTGCGCTTTTCTTTCCTTCTCCCTCTGCTCCTCTTCCGGCGTCCGAGTTCGTAACTGCAGCGCATGAATTCCTCCCTCTCGGTCCATCTCCTCCTTTAGCAAAGCGTACACCATGCGGTGACGGGCCGGCTGCATCTTCGACTTGAATGCTTCGGAGGTAATCGTTATGCTAACAAAGTGATATTAGTCAGGCGCTGTTTCGCAGGAGCCGACGGGCGGGGGACAAACTGAAAGTGCGTTTCCTTGGACGTTGACCCACGCATCGGCGCATGGTGCGCATGGAGATGGGAATCATTCCGGATTAGAAGATTGGAGGGGGAGAAAGCAGTGGTGATCTGGCAGGGTGGGATAGATTAGCACGTCGACATTGCGGATGTAGTAGGGTAGAGAAAGAATGCTAGGCTTCGTACTTTCTCACGGACGGCATCTTCAACGGGAGTATTGGAAGCCATTCTGGAGGTTGTTGAGAACAGGCGACGAGGGACAAGGCCGGAACGGCTGTGACGGAGGAGGGAGAGCATGGGATGTGGTTGAATTGCAGGAAGTGGGAGATGTCGATTTGTGGAGGAGCGTTGGTAAGTAATGGATAAATTGATGGATTTCATTGGTACTGGTATTTCATGTCATCATGTGAAGCGGCTTTCCCCATACCGCCGATCGGGAGAGCTTCCGACTCCGACCAAAAGCTGCCGACTTTGGCTCCAAACAATGACATCAATCAGTCTCTTTGTACAGTCTGATATCCATTGACGGATTTTGCGCCTTGATTGCTATTCGTATAGAAGATAAATATGCCATACGCATCCCGCTAACTTCAAAATGCAAGGACGCATGCTGATTTCGGCCCTTTCGCGGGGCTCTGGGCCCTTGGCTCGTCGCGCATTTCAGCCGTTTCTAAAATGCAATGCTCTCCACCAACCTCGATTCCAACCAATTAATTGTCGGTCGCTCTCAACTTTGCCAAACCTACCTCTTTTCCAAGCTCTCCGAGATCACGACCAATCTAGTCTTGCTGTCGTTCACAGCGCATCGTCCCGCTCCTTTACCTACGGCAATCTCGTTGCCGATGTCGTCCGTGCAAAGGAAAGACTCCTTGAGTGTGCCAAAGGCCAGCAAGATGGGCTTGCGGGAGAGAGAATTGCATTTCTGGCGGAGAATAGCTACGATTACGTAGGTACTGTTTCTCTTCGCTCCTGTCTACCCTGCCTGGCTGGTTACTGATCATAGTCTCAGTGACTCTCCTTTCCATTCTTGCTAGCGATGCGATCGCCTTACCCCTCTCCCCGGCCTTCCCTGTCGGCGAATTGAAGTATATCATGGATAATTCCCAGGCCAAAGTTCTCATTGCTACCGAAAAGTATGCGACCAAGGCACATGATATCTTGAAGGCGGGTCTTGAACGAGAGCCTATTCTAGAAGTCATGGAGAAGATTACAACCGGGGCAAGCAGTTTGGACCAAATAAACTTGCAGGACATCGTGCAGGAGTCTCGTGGCGGAATGATGCTATATACCTCAGGTACCACCAATAGGCCGGTAAGGGCACCTCATCCCAGCAGTGCGGGATATAGTCATATTGATACGTACTAGAAAGGTGTGTTGATCCCGCAATCAGCACTTACGGCGCAAGCAGCGTCCTTGCTGGAGGCATGGAAATATTCTCCGGATGACCGGTTACTTCATCTTCTTCCGCTGCATCATATCCATGGGGCTATCAATGCCATTGTAACGCCCATTCTGGCTGGCTCGTCTATTGAATTTATGTTCCCTTTCAACACAGATGCTGTGTGGAAGAGGCTTGCGGCTCCCTTTTTACCCGCATCCTCAGCGAGCAAGATTACTTTCCTTACAGCTGTCCCAACGATCTACAACCGACTCTTATCCTCTTTCCCCGGCCTGTCCCCTGAAGTGCAAGCGGCAGCGAAGAAAGGGATTGCACCCGAGAATCTACGTCTGAATATCTCTGGATCGGCAGCTTTGCCGACTCCTACTAAGCAAGCGTGGCAGGATCTCAGCAATGGCAATGTCCTTCTGGAGCGTTTTGGAATGACTGAAGTCGGTATGGCTATCAGCTGCGGCCTCGACTTCGCCGATCGGGTTGATGGTAGTGTCGGGTGGGCATTGCCGTCTGTGGAGGCTAGACTTGTGGATACGGAGACAAACGAAGTTATACAGCCTGGAGAGGAATACGATGCGAATGGACGCGAGCGTGAAGGTGAAATCCAGCTCCGTGGCCCTACTATTTTCCGGGAGTATTGGGCCAATGAGAAAGCCACAAAAGAAGCGTTTGTCGACAGTGATGATGGTAAGAGCAAATGGTTCAAGACTGGGGACGTTGCCACGCGCCGAGTAGTCGAGCATGCTGGGAAAGGAACAAGTGGAGATTGGGCACAAGGACCTATGTATTTCATTCAAGGCCGACTGAGCGTGGATATCATCAAGACCGGTGGAGAAAAGGTCAGCGCATTGGAGGTGGAAAGAGAGCTGCTGTCCCTGTAGGTCCTCCTGTACCGCATGGAAAACTGCATACTGATCTGCTGTAGCCCTCAAGTTAGCGAAGCAGCTGTGGTGGGACTTCCATCTGAGCAGTGGGGCCAGAAGGTCGCTGCAGTGGTCGTTCTCGACGCAGAAAAGGCTGCGAATACTGGTCGCAATGGCAAGCCATGGGGCGCTCTTGACATGCGACGTGCCCTTAAGGATCGCCTTGCAAGCTATAAGATGCCCCAGGAGATGAAGGTTCTCAACAGACCGATCCCAAGGAACGCAATGGGCAAAGGTAAGCTTCTGTCTCTCGTTTGCCATGGCGACATACTTACCTGGCATATAGTGAACAAAAAGACACTTGTCAAGGAGGTCTTTGGAATCTAATCGCATATGGACTGTCAGCACTGTACTATATCTCGACTGTATCTAGATCGGCATCTTGGATGAATTCCAAATGTTATTACCTTGAAACTTTTCTCGCCTGCCTTGAAAATAAAGAAACTCATGCTCCTGTGCACTAGATCAACTTGAGCTCGCGAGACACAGGAGACTTTGATCTATGTGAATTCCATCGGCCAGGGGCTGGGGAAGTTTCTTCAGCTGGATTCGATAAATGCCGTGGTCCTTGGCGGAAGACTAGCTCCCCCCGGGTTGCTGATCCCAACCTTGAAGCAGTCTGCAGCGGCTAAATCCGGACATCCCTCCGCACCCGTTATGGCCCGCAAAGACCGGCAAAACATATACTCTGCAACGTTATAGCATAAATGTTTCGTTTTATTATTTCCCGGTCTCAGTCTGACGCTACTCTCGCCGTGCGAAGCCGTTGATCAGACCCCTTAATAACCTTAATACTGTCAACATTGCCGACGCGCATCCTCCGCACTGGTGGATTTTAATATATCTAAAACCGGATCACAATGGCAATGAGACATCCGGAAAAACATGTGCATGAATCAAGTCGGACCATCGGGCCGCAATGGTCGCAATCCCATATCAGACGCTCTTAAGCTCCCACAAGCCTTGGTGCTCTGTCTCGGGATAATACATAAATAACGGCTACGCCCCGGCGCATATACGACAGCACACACACTCTTTATATACCAGCAAGTCGAGGCCTTTCAGCATGATCTGGACACTCGTTCCCTTCGTGGCACTTCTGCCACTAGCGACAGCCCAACAGGTGGGCACTACGCCTGATGCCCATCCCAGACTCACCACATATAAATGCACATCGCAGAGTGGCTGCATAAAGCAGAACACCTCAGTTGTTCTGGATGCAGCAACTCACTTCATCCACCAAAAAGGGACAGAAACTTCCTGCACCAACAGCAACGGCCTAGACACTTCCATCTGTCCGGATAAACAAACCTGCGCTGACAACTGTGTCGTTGATGGTATCACGGACTACAGCAGCTACGGTGTCGAAACAGAGAATGCCACGTTGACCCTTCACCAGTACTTGCAAACTGGCGACGGCACAAAGTCCGTGTCACCGCGCGTCTACCTCCTCGCGGAAGACGGAGAGAACTACTCCATGCTGAAACTCACGAATCAGGAATTCACCTTCGATGTCGATGCATCCACCCTCGTATGCGGTATGAATGGTGCTTTATATCTGTCTGAAATGGAGGCCTCTGGCGGAAGGAGCTCCCTGAACCAAGCCGGAGCCACATATGGAACTGGGTACTGTGACGCTCAATGCTACACCAAGGAATGGATCAACGGCGAAGCCAACACCGAGGGTGTGGGCTCCTGCTGTCAGGAAATGGATATTTGGGAAGCCAACGCCCGAGCAACAGGACTTACACCACACCCTTGCAACACAACCGGCCTGTACGGGTGCAGCGGCTCAGAGTGCGAAGCTTCCGGCGTCTGTGACAAGCCTGGCTGTGGATTCAACCCGTACGCCCTAGGTGCAAAGGACTACTACGGTTACGGCCTCAAGGTCAACACCAACGAGACACTCACAGTTGTAACCCAGTTCCTCACAACTGATAACACCACCTCGGGCCAACTCAGCGAAATCCGCCGTCTTTATATCCAGAATGGCCAGGTCATTCAAAATGCTGCCGTCACTTCCGGAGGCAAAACTGTCGACTCGATTACAAAGGACTTCTGCAGCGACGAAGGAAGTGCCTTCAACCGGCTTGGTGGCCTCGAGGAAATGGGCAACGCCCTGGGCCGCGGCATGGTTCTTGCGATGAGTATCTGGAACGACGCAGGCTCGTTCATGCAATGGCTTGATGGTGGCAATGCAGGACCGTGCAGTGCAACTGAGGGAGACCCAGCGCTGATTGAGAAGTTGTATCCGGACACTCATGTGAAGTTTTCCAACATTCGGTGGGGAGACATTGGATCTACCTACCAGCATTAGAATGGGTTCTGCGTCGTCTGCGGTTGTGTATGTATGACACCTTGCGCTTGATTGTTATCTGTGATGCGAAATATAGCGAAGTTGATCTATAAGTGAATACATCCCGATTCTTGCATACCGTCAACAGGTTCCATCCCATACGCCAATAGAGGCAGAATACAAAGGTTTTATACCCAGTGAGTACAGTAATATACACCCGCTAGGAGGGAACGTAGGATAAACAGAGTTATCCCATGAAAACAAAGGATACCATCTCCAGACACACGCATGAAAATAAACTAGAACCACATTAGTAGCCTCACGTACTCGGCCACTCAAGATCCCTCCAAGGTCTCCCCCGAGTCTCCCTCGCCAACTCCTCCAGAGATTTCCACTTCCAAACACGCTCCTCGGGATTCACCAGGTCATTATCACAACCCAACCCAGCCGGAGAATGATTAATCTTGCCCTCCCCCATCAAAAACCTCAAATAAGCCGCCGGATCACTCCCCACCACGCTAGTAACCCTCTCCTTATACTCCCCCAACGCAGCCTGCGTCACCTCAATCGGGCCACCCCCCTCCCTCTCCATGACCCTCGCTACATCAGCAACACACTTGGTATCCCCCGCAACATGCACCACATCCGGCACCTCCCCCTCAGCAGCAAACAAGCGACAAAGCCCCGCAACAACCCTCCCCACATCGCCCAACCCTGTAAACGAAACCCGCTCCGCAGACGACCCCACACTCTCATACCGTCCGCCACGGGTATCAAACCCAAACCAAGGCCCAATACTATCCTCCATGAACAGTCCACAAAACACCCGACAGACCTTCACCTGGGGAGGCAATATCTCCCGCGCGAGAGCATAATGCCGCTTTTTAGCGTCCCATTCTTGATGCGGGAAGTCGTGGATGTAGTGGTTTACCCCGAATTCGGAGGGGATGTACAACTTGATATTTGTTTTGGGAATGGCACGCAGGAGGGCTTCCTTGAAGCTGTGGCCGGAGGGCCCGATTGCGTTGATTAGGATGTCGATGTCGGTCAGGGCTTGGGAGAGGTTCGTTGGCGTGTATTTGCGGAGTTGGAGTTTGGGGTTGTTGGGGATGGAGGACGAGGTCTCGGAGCGGGTGAGCAGGATTATGGAGGTGAAGGAGCTGATGAAGGGAGTGCTGAGCAGGGCGGTGGTTATGTGCTTTCCTAGGTGGCCTGTGCCGCCGGCTATGGCTATTGTTGGCTTTGGGGGCATTATGTATGGGGTTTGGAATAGGTGGGTGGGGTTGAGAATTGAGGATTGAGGGACGGAGGTTTCTTGGAGATTGCTACGGGTTTATATAGGTGAATGGTCCTTTACTTAGGAGTATATGGGTAAGCAGACCTGGTGATTCATCATCCTATACATCTACTTGGCAGGGTTGGTATGCAAAAGTCAAACTGGGCAAACAGCCCGAATGGATTCGGGCTATTCCTTTCTTAGCCTGGTGGATGCTGTTTACATTGTATGTTCTGTTTGCTACTTGCCATCATTGGCTAAAGCTGGTTCAGTGGACTGTTTGCACTAGGGCAAAAGTCAATTCTGATTGGCTCGCATTACTGTCCCTTAATTCCGCTGTTTGATAAGGCTTACAAACTGAGGTATGCGGAGCCCTAGGTCGAGGATAGACGATGCTAGACCTTCTGAATATATATTTTTTTTTTTTTTTTTTTTGGGATTTGCTTCTTCTGTTTCTTCCAGAGGAAACTTCTGTGTCTTGCATAGCAGATGACTTTTTGCATTGAGAGATAACATACTAACATTATATTGTTGGACTGTTGATGTCCTCACCACTCAGGTTGATACTCTTCCACAGTGTAAGACTCCAGAGCAAATTTCCTACACAATATCGACTTCTACCACTTGTCAGAAATCTCGAAATGAATTCTCGATTGATCAGGGCACTTCAGCACCTCATCCAGGAGGCCCATGGCCATGTCTCTCAACGTCCATCATGCCATTCATGCTCGCACCATATGAACCCTGATTACATTTCTCAGATGGAGACGTGGCCACAACTAGAAACAATGAGACGACTGCTGTGCCAGCGGCCACCGATTCCCGAGCTACCTACGGAAATACTCGAAGACATTGACGCAGTCATTACGCATCGAAACAATAAAGCAGTGCTCACCTCATCTACATCAATCGACCCGAGCGTTGTATTCAAGCCCAACAATGATAAGACAACAGAGAAATCGAGCTCCAAGGCAATCAGTATATCTGTGTGGAGAGGCGACATCACAGCTTTGACTGACATAACCGCAATTGTCAACGCTGCGAACTCTCAGCTTCTCGGTTGTTTCCGTCCGGACCATCGCTGCATTGACAATGTTATACACTCTGCTGCCGGCCCACGTCTTCGCGATGCGTGCAACTCTTTAATGCTTGAGCAAGGGCATCCAGAGCCGGTAGGATCTGTAAAGGTTACCCCGGGTTTCAATTTACCAACACCATGGGTATTACACACTGTGGGCCCGCAAGTGAACTCTAGGAAGAGTCCTGGAACAGTACAACAGCAACAACTAGCAAGTTGTTACAGGTCTTGCCTTGATGCCACTGAGTCACTTCCTGCATGTCCGGACGGCCGTAAGGTTGTAGCCTTCTGCTGTATCTCAACAGGACTTTTTGCTTTCCCGCCGGACATGGCCGCCAAGATTGCTCTGGAGACCGTGATACAATGGTGCTTGGATCACCCGGCAACAACCGTGACCGATATAATCTTCGACACCTTCCTGGAGAGAGACTACGAGTTGTATCAAGCAAATATTGCCGCGCTCAAGACTAGCTTTGCCTCCCCAGGCGTCCAGATATCTTTCCCACCGAGTCCACCCAATCAACCCAAGGCACTCATTACCCCTACCATATCCAAGGCGCGAAGCTGGCTCCAAGAAGCAGACTACCTAGTCATCTCAGCCGGTGCTGGCCTCTCAGCAGCTATCGGCCTCGACTATACCTCTACATCTCTTTTCCAAAAACATTTCCCGGGGTTTCTCCACCTCGGTCTAGGACGCCTATACGACGTGTTCGGATTCAACGACTGGGACAGCCCGAACCAAAAATGGGGTTACTACTTCCTCCACCTAAACATGGTCCGGACCTGGCCGGCGTCGAAACTCTACGATTCTTTGTGTAAACTCGCGGCCCGCTTTGACGATGCATACTTCGTTCGCACATCTAACGCCGATGGCCAATTCGTTGCGAACGGCTTCCCAGCAGAGAAGGTATCCACACCACAAGGACAATACAGATTCCTGCAATGCTTTGCCAAATGTCGACCCGATGCCGTATTTCCTTCCGATCCCTTTGTGGACGCCGCGTTACCCTTCATTGATCCAAAGAGCCAGGTTCTCACGGATGAAACGAAGATCCCTGCATGTCAATACTGCGGCGGCGAACTGACACTCTGTGTGCGTGGTGGCGATTATTTCAACCCTGCCCCATTCCGTGGGCAGGAGCGTAAGTGGAAGCAATATATGGATGATGTTGCCAGCAATCTTGATGGTAGGAGGGCTGTTATTCTTGAGCTGGGTGTAGGGCTCAATACGCCGGCCGTGTTGAGGTGGCCGAATGAGGAGCTGGTGGGGGACCTTTCGAATCCTGGTTTTCGACTTATTAGGGCGGGAGTAGGGGCTTCTGGATGTGCGCCTTGGGATTTGGAGGAACAGGATTTGGCTGTTGGGATTGAAGGGGACTTGGGTTTGGTTGTGGAGGCGTTGGTGGGTTGAAGCTTGTTATAGATCCGATACCTGTATGGAGAGATACTATAGATTGTCTAGGGACGTTTAAATGATGAATTATAATTTAGTCTTACTTGGGGCTTATGAATGAGTCCAAATTGGAAAGCCTAAGGCAATAAATTGGCATGCAGCTTCACCGCTGCTTCGACATACCGAGAAGTATCGTTTTCTTAAACGGTGCTTGGCTATGAACAACATAGCTAACCTATCGATGCCACGTATCATGTTCTATCTACTCTGTAATCGAAGAGCAAGTTGGTTAGTACTGGTTGCATCTCACTCAGTAATAGGCTGGGCCTCTCTCGCCACCAAGCTACGTAATTACAGCAGCTTGAAGACGCAAGATAGAGTTGTAATGTGGTCAGTGGATGGATAATAGGCAGACATGCATATATTAATGCAGTATATCGTCACTTTCTGCAATATGCCAACAACGTAGATACATCACAGAAGCAGGGCCACCTAGACCAAGAGTTACCACTCTTATAACCTCGCAGAAGCGCTTGTGTGATCGTAGAACACTGTTCAGAAGCCAGTTCATGGTAAATGCTGCTTCGACGAGTATTTTTCAATATATTAGCAACCTCATACTACTTTCTTTATCTGCTGAACGGCAACAACCGATATTTCCAATCTACCCCTCTGAAACTCGCCATTATCTTTCTTGTCCACCTGGTCGTTTCTCTGTTTCGGTGGATCGCAGAGCAGATAGTGTACAACATGCGGAAGGGCAGTCCATCACCCTGCAACCATGTGCGTCAGAAGGATACCATTTCTCATTCAATAGGTCATCTTACTTTTATGCTCTTCATCACCCCTTTGACTTCCATTTGGTGGAGCGCTATAACAGACTACAATGGCTTCCTTCAGCTTTCTGTCACAAGATTACTGGCAGATCCAAAGGGATCATTGAGCTGGTACTCTCTGCCTTCCCACGATATCAGCGTTGCTTTTGCGAAATGGATTCTCTTCGAAGCTATTCTATATACCGTACTGCCGGGTAGGATATGTGCTGGTCAACCCACGCCATCAGGACACACCTTACCTTATACAATGAACGGCCTATCATTTTTCACATTCTCAATTATCTTCTTCTTGGTCTCGGCAGCTCTCGGATGGACTGAGCTTTCCTTCATAGCCAACAACTGGAGAGACATTATCCTGGTGCTGAATGCGTTCGCTTGGTTGCTTACAGGCCTAGCCTTTCTAAAGGGGCGCATTGCTCCGTCATATAAATATGATAACAAGGAGAATGGTAATAGATACCATCTCGAATAGTAGCTACTTTCTAACAAACCTCAACAGATTCATACATCTCCGATATCTGGCGAGGCATTGAACTGCATCCTCGGTTCGGCGCAGCATGGGATCTCAAAATCTTCCACAACGGACGCTGGACGATGACCGCACTCGCCATGATGTAAGTCCAACCATCATCGGAGGCAAAATATCTGAAACTCTAATCTTGTCCTCGCAGAGATATATCCTTCGCAGCCCTCCAATGGGAAATGCACGGTTATATAACGTACACGATGATATGCGTACTGCTACTCCGGAACATTCTCATCGTCAACTTCTTCACAAATGAAGAATGGTAAGCATCTCCTCAGTACCAATGCCACATTACAATCTAACTTCAGCCCCTAGGTATCTCCGTAGTATGGATGTATGCGACGAGCCCTTCGGATTCTACTTCGCGTGGGGATCCGGTGTTTTCTTCCCGACAATGTACACTTTGCAGACGCAGTATCTTGCCCTGAACCCCGTCGAGCTTCCCCTCACTCGTATTATCTCAATATTTTCCCTCGGAGTCACAGGTTTCATCGTCTACTATGTCGCCACAGAGCAAAAGAATGCAGTATGCGACATGACGAGTGCCAAGGAGATGGGACACGAAAAGGTGCAGTTTGTTCGTGCTTCGTATACGACGACTGATGGGGTCGGGAGAGAGTCACTCTTGTTGTGTAGTGGTATGTTACCGTTTAAGCACGATGCTTCACATGTGATACTTATGAATAGTCCAGGGTTGTGGAGACATATCCGACATCCCAATTATCTGGGCGTATTGATATTGACGTACGCCATGTGCGCATTGTGTGGGACCGAGGCCCTGCTTCCTTGGAATAAGGCTGTCTTTGCTACTGCTTTCCTGGCCTATAGATGTACTAGGGATGAGAGAAACTGTCTGAGGAAGTATGGCAAGGATTGGGAGGTTTATTGTCAGAGAGTGAGATGGAGGTTGGTGCCTGGGTTGTATTGATTTTCCTTCATTTTCTGAAGTAAACTTTTGCTAGCCATACAGAAGGAACTTTTCATAGCCATATACACGTTTTACTTGGTAACGTTTACTAGTAGACTGTATCACTACGAAGGCTTTTGGAACGGTCAAACATCTGGTTTGAAGATATGACAGACAGTAGTACCATGCATCGTGGCCCTAAGTGAGTGTTCACAAATTCGAAGGATAACGTTGAAGTGTGTATGGACATGGGTTAGATGCCCAGGTACTCTCAAGGTCTCTATTCAAACGGTGCACGAAGACCGGTATCCCAAGTCCGATTCAACAGCTATGCGTAACCCTACCGAGTCCGTGTTGAATGATGAATGAGCTAAGTAATAATTTAGGTCCTCAGGAATGTCAAGGAGAACTTGGACAAACAGCTCGCAAGCGACGTCAATCATAAAGCCAGATTATCAATTTGGAGCAGCCAAGAAACTCGAGGAATAAATCAAATCTTGAATAGACTCCAGAAGGAAAAGGTATTGGTAGGCTGGGGATTACCCGATGCTTTAGCCATATCTCTATCCACCCTCACCCCCGCCTGGGTGTTTGGGGAGAGGTCATGATAATAGCCACCACTGATCCCTTGACTGACACGCTCACCATCCCTGGTAAAACCCCCTCGAACCTCACCATGGACGTGATGGTGTTTCACAAATTCGTATGTAGCGCCAGCAGAGGCGTCGAAGCCGTTCTTGTGAGCATAACCTCCAACTGCAGTTTGAAGGCTCCCCATGTCTGTGTTTAAACTAGCGCCAAGGGGACTCTTGCTCATATCAAGCCTCACGCCCGGATTGTGGGATAGAAGCATACTATAGACCGTCCCAGTTGGAGCCCCTGGCATGAGGGGAGTGTCTCATCTGGTATCACGCGTGCTGAACAAGCTGTTCGACCCCGACAAATTGCTGAGACTTATATCACTGCGGCTCAGACCACTATTACCGAGCCCGAGGTCGAGGCGGTAGCTGAACTGATCATTGAACGATGAGTTGCTGAATAGATTGTTGTTCATTTTTGCCGTTAGCGGAACTGGCCGAGTACCTGCTATCGAATTAGCATTGGACGCCACTGATATTGACAGTGGGAACCAAAAGAGATGTAAGGTGATTGCTGCGAAGAGGAATTAGTCTTGAAATGATAACTCAAAACGAATATCCCTATTTCATATTTCAGTAGGAGTCAGCCACAGCTCGCCATGGTACAGCATTCCCGGAATCCCGGCTCAACGTAATTTCTTCATGTTATTCTATGATTTTCTGCCATGTGTGTCTGTCATTGATAAGGTGCTTATCTGTAACTTCCTTGAAGTAATAGTATGCTCCCCTGCATATACTCCTGGCGTCGATGCGGGAGTCACGGTTACATATCTACTAACAAGGGCAATCCTCCATTGCCAGGCAGTATTTCCGCATCCGAAGCTGCGAGACCCAATATGGAACTTTGACGCACTCTGCTATACCTAAGAGGACAAAGAGATGGCACAGCGGGTGAGTGCAAGGCGCAGTTTTGCCAAACATCTTGAGCTCAGGCATACCACTCTATAGATCTTCCTACGAAGTGCCAGTTAGTTTCTACCGACTTACTCGGCAGCCTTGGTATCGTTATTAATACTAGAGACGCTTAATTTCACATGAATTCCCTACACGGCTGACATTTTCCCTTCGCTAAACCAGGACTGCTGTTATCTCGCGATTTCCTTTGGCCCCCGCCCCCACATCCTGGATCTTCCCATCAGCGACAATTATTGGAGGACGCACCAACATCGGACATAGCTTCAATAACAGGTGGGAGGCCTTAGGAGGCCCGAGCTCTTATGAAAACCATTCATGTTTCCATCTTACTTGGTACATCTCATGTTATCCTTGCAAAGACACTTGTCTTACAAGCTTGTTTAGTACTGTGTCAAATCGCAAAGAAGCTCTCTGCCTATATGATGACCGACGGATACAGTGACAGTCCTCAGGGCTCGACCGTTTTCGAACTGAACAATGGTATGTTCAATAGCTATACTTTTGAGGCATCCGTTGTTGAATACAGGGCTAATAGAAATACTAATGAAGGCATGAAAATACCCGCGCTCGGTTTTGGTGCTATGAAACGTCAGTGGCCGTCACCTTTGACCAGGGGTTCCACTTTTCAAGCACGACGGCTAACAGTATGCTACAGAAGGCTTAGTTCTTCCAGAAGAAGAGAGAGACTATGTCCGCAGTCTCATAGTACAAGCCATTACAGCTGGATATCGCTTAATCGATACATCTAAAATCTATGCAACTGAGGACCTTGTTGGAGAAGCCATCAAGGAGTCTGGTGTGTCTCGGTCTGACATTACTGTTGTGACGAAGCTATCTTGTGATGATCACCATGATGTGCGCGCAGCCTTTGAGAGATCACGGCGCATGCTCGATACCTACATTGATATCTATATCATGCATTGGCCGCAAGGCTATACGAAAGATGTGTCACGCCCATTGGCGCCTGATGAGAGTCCGACCTATATAGAGGTCTACAAGGAAATGGAAAAGCTAGTGGGTCCTGATTGCAGAGCTATTGGTGTCGGCAACCTCACACAGAAGACATTGGACATCTTGCTCAAGGAAACTGAAATCCGGCCTGTGGTCAATGAAATCGAGATCCATCCCCGGAATCCCAATACAAAATTAGTCCCATATTGTCTGGAAAGAGGGATTCGTCCAATCGCATGGGGGTGAGTTGAACTTGACTGGTGATCCTTTGAGAGCAAATTTGCTTAATGTAATGAAATTCTCACAAATTGACCACTTTGAACAGCCCCTTAGCAGGCGGACCTACAAGCCATTACTCGGACACCTCCTCAATCTATGACAATCCCCTCCTCCTCTCTCTTTCTTTACGTTACGAGCTCTCTGTCGGGGCTGTCATCTTGTCGTGGCTCGTTCAACGTGGAATCGCCGTCATTCCGCATTCAAGCTCACTAACTAGGCTGGCCGAGAATAGACGCCTCGCAAAACTAACCGACGGGGAGATCCAGGCGATAAACTCTTTGCATGAGGAAATTGGGAGAACGTGGCTTATCGATTTTGTGCCCCCGGTCTGGATGGAGGTACCAGGGAAGGGGAAGACGATTATGGGATGGACAGTACAGGAGCTTGGCTGGGTAGATGACAGGGGAGAATGCTTGGTTTAATGATGTTTCGCAGCATCCTGGACTACTACTAATAAATAAGGAAAGATGCTACAATACAACTAGATCGTATTGAAAAATCTCCGGAGTACGTATTAGATCTAGATCAGTTGGACCTCTTGAAACCCCGCCCTGATAACAAGTTAATAACTCTAATTCCGGCTAGATGACCAGTTCATGGAGATGATCAGTATACTTGCTGGTCTTCAGAAGGAAAAAAAAAAAAACAAAAAAAACATACAACAGCATTAGTATGACCATAGACTTATAAAGATTGCATGAACTAGAAATAATTGACCCAAGTCCGCTGCCACCAGAGTACAGACTATATACATCTCAGCAACTCAACCTCTTCCCTAATTCACTTGCACTGAACTACGTTGGCCGGATCACCGACGGGCCTAACAGCAGCCGTGCATTCTAGAGTATATTGTCAGAACGAGGCTAGGAAGATTATCTAGCCAGTTAGGAATACGTACCTCCACGAGCGATCAGCCCCTCGCTATTTACCCAATAAGCGCAAGCTTCATGATGGGAAAGCCATGTATTCGTGTTCCTGATAGTGCATGCTTCGACAACCTCCCATCTGCTTTGCAGATCTACAGGATACATTAGTTTGAATAGTCTCGTCGTATCCCCGGGAAGATCACCTACTGTCTGTGAAGATATAGCTGTTCTGATTTGCAATCCAGGTTCCGTCTGCAGCCTGAGCCCAAGCGTGAGCTGTCCCTGCTAGCGAAAGAGTAGCAGCAGCAACGATCGAATAAATCTGCATCTTGCGAGAATATGATGGATGTGGCTGAAGATAAAATGTATATGTGTAGTATTGTAAAAGGAGGAAGTGTCTGATGTTCAAGAGAAATTCTTTCAAACTTCGTTGATCGAGACAGACTTTATATAGTAGTCTATTGGGATCATTCCGACTCCTAACAGGTAGGCGATGGTATGTAGGACTCTAGATGAGGCTGAGCAGCCCCCAAACCTTAACTGCAACTGCGGGTGACAAAAATAACCGCAGACAAGCGCAGAAACCTCTTCTCCCTTTTAAAAATTGGTCCCTGCGCAAATCAGTCTGCCTTGTCGACAACTATTACTGACGAAGGATTCACCTTCTCCTGGATGTCTTCCTTTGTCAACCGTTTTTTGGTAAGCGCTAGTGGATGTGTCTACAATGGCAGTGCAAACTATGTCTAAGCGAGATGAATTGGTATAGACTAGTATGCATGGGGAAAAGGGGCAGGATGAGCTATCCCATGGCGGTATAGTCGCAATTCAAGATACAACGGACCCAAGACAAAATGCTCTGGAGCGAGCAGATCGCCGTAATCTAAGCCTACAGCTAAAGCCCCCCAACTGAGGGTAAACGAAGGTCTGATTCTTCAGTGGCCTAATAAGCCCGATGACCACATAACTAGCTCGGATCCTGAAGACGATCTGAGACATTCTTGGAGTTAGAGCTACTCTATAATTGAGCCGTCTTTTCCTGGTGGCCCAGCCTAACCTCGTCATTAGTGCCCATTCTCTTGATACAGCGGTGAGCTTAGGTACTTAGTCAACTAGTCATGAAATATTGATTTCCAATTCGCTACTCCGTATACCTCTCTTATTTTTGTTTCTTTTCTTTTTCTTTTTCTTTCTTTCTTTCTTTCTTTCTTTTTTTTTTTCTCTCGGGTTAAGACCTCCGGGGTTCGACTATCAAACAGTCAATCTACCTATGCCTCGTACAGGAAATGCTAATTCTCCTAGGTATTACAGCAGAATGACCCTTTCTCCTTTTGAAATCCTATCCGTATTCTCGGGTATAATGTGAATTGGCAATAAAGTCTTGTGGTTTCTAGCTGGTCCATATATCGATTCATTGGGCGCCGGAATGCCAATAGAGTCGGCCAAGACCGTGGATAGTTCATCTAACTATAATTCATTATATCGTTTCTTGCTTCTAGTCGGTGAGTATGGCCCTGAATTATGCACCTGTGAAGTTACTGGTGAATTTTAGAGTTAAAGAAGCATGTTACAACTCACCTAGTATTGAATATTTAGAGTAGAAAACCGGGCATACCTTATATTATCCTTACTTACACATACACAGTCCAAGGAACAAGTTTTGGAGAATGCTAGACATTAAATTAGCTGATAACAATCGTAGAGCAATCCAGTCTATTTTACATAATTATCCTATGGCCGTGGCGATATACCCACCTGTGACTACAAGATTGAATAGCTACTAGAAGGAATCTCTCTATTTGTAATATATTCCTCTCTCATGGATGTAACAGTGGTTTTATTCATCGCCATAGGGTTAGAGCCATTCGACACCTCCTACAAAAAATAGAATCACCACCACTGTAGTCAATAAGACTGGACCGTTACGGAAAGGAATATAAGAAAATTCACAACATGCGCACTATTAGAGTTTGGCAGTAGACTAAAATAAACCCTATTTAGTAGAGGCTCACCGGAGAATGCTGTCTCATGACATTCCCTTGGAAAATATGACTTCAATGTACTAAAGAAAAGATGTTTATAGAGTGACAGGTGTTGTTTCGGTGACTCGGCGCGGAACAGTGCTCCGAATGACATCAACATCCCACAGCTTATTCACCTCTCTTTATTCCCCCTTCTGCAAAATCCCTAAATCAAACTATTCTCCCCCACACTGTACTCACTCGTTCAAACTTTCTTACTCAAACATCATCTCTCTCCAGCATCTTGGTCATGCCTTTCACGGACAGAACTGTCCGTGCCCTACGTGGTCGCTTTTCGCGTATCGACCTATCTGAGAACTTGGATATTCAACGCATGAAAATGTATACCATGCTCCGGGACATCTACCAAGAGCTACGTGGTCTAAGTCTCGAGTCACCCGGATCAGAAAACTTAGAGCTGCTGCCAGTGCAGATTCTACCGCACATCACAAGTGCTACCTCTTCCGTTAGATCCCACTGCCTGCTTTGTCCCACTGTGACAGGAATTTATTAGACAGCATCCGATGTCCTGCAGATCCTAAGACTCAACGGCGCCTGAATAACATCGCAACACTCCTTAGACCGGGATATAGCAGCAATAATATTCAGTACAGGTTATTACGATCCTATAGTAAAGCTAGGATTCTTGGCAATCGCCTAGCTATGGAAATCTTAAGCTGACGGCTCAGCCGCGAAGAGCCTATGCCAAGGATAGGTATGATCACGGAATAGCGATAGAGTACGTATCTACCAATATAATCCTACGTTATCTTCCAGGAAAAACTGATTAACTGAGACCAAGGACTTCTATCTTGACCCAGCCTTTTATTACAACGCTTAGGATTATCGAGACGATTATAACTAGAAAGTTAACTTTTTTTATGCTTGTTCAAGCTATACTACTTTCCTATATATTAAGGTCCTTATACAGCACAGCGATACTAAAAAACCCGAGCTAGTCCTTAAGACAGAGATTATGGCGATAGTTATTACAATGCATTCCCGTCTGTACACGGAGACTCTTCTCGGTTATCTCATAGTTCCAGTTAATTTCAATATTGACTTCATTAGAGTCGCTGCTGACCCATTCCATCTCTTCCGCTAGGTAATGGTTTTGACCGTCGCCGGATGCCGTGTGCGCATTCTAATCGCCATCTATGATGGCCAGAATTTAAAGATCTCTATCTCCTAAGAACTCTGCCGTAGCCGAGGCGGCCAAGTATACTGTATTCCCATTTCTAAAAGCGCTATCATATATAATGGTATCGATTATAAGTTGCTTGAAAAATTCATACCCACCAAATTTATAGGTTTCTTGTAAGAAGTACCCAGCAACCGTGGGGTTAAATCCAGTGGCCAAGGTCTCGACCTCTTCGTGGACTGTTACTTGTCGTAGACCACTTAAAGTACTTTGGTTATATAATAAAGGATCGAGCTGCATCCTTGTTTTAACACTGCTCAAATCAGCCTACGTATTTTAAACTAACTGGAGAAACTTACACGTTAATCGGAGTAAGAATTGCGTGAGTAAATGAGTAATATATGCTACCAGCAGCTGCGTATCTGCTGTACAGTCCAATACATGATCCCCTTTGTTCTCCAGCTCCTGCGACTCTCCGGTGCCCATGCACAGTGTTGGGGAGTGAGCTGGTTTGTGGTGAGGGGGACATGGTATATATCACAGTCGCAGTAAACGACTAGAAAGGATAGAAATGCTTTTTGTGTGAAGATTAAGACGAGAGATCATCGACCCACCAGCTCACGAACAGCTCTACCGATTTTTCCACCGCCTTTCCACTATCGGATTTGTTGTGCTTACGATGCATCTCCAACGTTGCCATCTAGTGCAGTGTTTGGTCAAGATCTACTACTAAATAAATCCCATTAAATTGCTCTTAATTTTGTGCCAGCAACTTATGTTCATGTTCTCAACATGAATTCTACCTCTTCTCCGATGATCACACCGCCGAATGTTTACGGATTCTTCTACGATTTGAAACAATTCAGCGATAGCTGAGAATATTATAACTGCTACCTTAATGGGTAGCGAAGTTAATGCCCTCCACATAAGCACACTCGAAGCAACATAATGGTTGACAGCATGTCTGGAATGAATTACAACGCCATTTACAATTGCTGCGACTGATTATGTGTTTCGGCTTCATACTTACATTAGCGGCTTCCACCGGGATCCCGAGCTTGTATGAGACCTGGATCTGTTTGAACGGCGGCTAGCTCAATGTCGGATACAGTCCAAATCAAGCCGTCTTTGCGCCAGGAGTACTAATCTGCAGGAACATTGACATCGTTGTCCAGGTTTGAAAGGTGTGATCTGAGATGTGGAGCTAGTGTTTTTGCCATCCGCGAAAAGATACGTTCACTTGTCTCCTCCCGGAAGAATATGTGGCCTTTGGCATCGAAGTCCCAAGCCGTGTGTCGATATGTCCCCCAAACATACTCCAAAACTATATCCGAAGCCGGACAGGAATTGGGATCAATACTAGTTTGTATGCCCACAAGCACGTCATGCTCCAGGAGGTTCACCGGACAATACCACCACCATCGGAAATCGGATGACTCACTTCCGTCCAGTCGTCGACAAATACCATTCTTTTCATCAAAGAATCCTAGCGTACGGAGATACTGAAGTCGCTTGATACTCCAAGAGTGAGAAGGTCTACGTGTGGAGCATAGAAAGAGCTCGATAATGTTGGGAGGCCGTAGGTACTGGGTCACTGCTCTCATGCAACCCGGTCGGTGGGCGCTCCTAAAGTCGTCGCCGCCATCCTCCAATCTTGTATATTCGCCAGTCAGCCTGTCCCACTCCCTAGCAATACTTTCAAAGCTTTTCCGCCCAAGAAAACTCCACACAAAGTCAAATATCTCGAGCACATCTAATTTTTCCTGCAGTGTCCGGCTTCGGTTGTCGCTCCATATCTTCCATACCTGCACGAAATAGCGATTTTGATCCGACGGTGTATCATATACAGAAATTCGGGCTAGCCACAGCATCTCTACCGCCAGCCACTGCGCGGTCAAGGCCTGGTAGAAACGCTGATATGACCGACGGTTCTGACCAGGACATACCGCACCAACATCAAGTGAGACATCCCCCTGCGAAGTGACTATCGGCTCCACGAGACGGTCAGTTTCTGTAAGATTGCATTCTTCTTCAGCACTGTCGCTACCCAGCCAGTCCGGTGGTCGAGAGCGAAAATACAGTGTACGCAACGGCGGGTGGCAATAGAGCTGGTACAGGAGATGCAGCCCTTGCCATCGACAAACAATGGACCAGACCATGTCTTCTGGGAGCGGGTCTGCTCTTTGGACATGGGAATTAAAAATATCAGCTGGGGTTGGCCGCGCTGATAAGGGTGGTCTGTCGCGGGACCAGGTTACATAGTACGGCTCAAAATTGCCATATAATTGCAGGTGCCGGGATAGGTCGACATCATATCGATGATGGGGAGCGTTGGTCTGCAGTATAGTCAGGCAAGTATAAGAAGCGTTAGGTTGGCTATTTTTGCTCCATCACATACTATCACGGATCGAAACACGTGTAGGCGGTTACCTGACCCCTCCAACACGTCATGCAACTGTCTACAGCTGCGTGCAAGGTGGAATACATCGTCTAAGTCGTCTAAATAGCGAAATATGGATAAAAGTATCTCGGTAGGGAGTTCTAACTGAGTCGGCATATTGTAGTATTCAAGAATGGAGTTCGAAAGCAGAAATGTGGTTAACCTTCTATTTTGCCCAACCTCACAGCTCATCTAGTTGCTATTTTGGACATCTTATAAGTTTGCCTGGCAACCCTCCGAGAAAGTATAAAACTTTGCCGAAATACGGATAACATATTATGACTTCAATATTGAACACATGTAATTAGTGGATTATTGTTACTTATTCTTCCTGGCCGGGTGTAGGTTTGCGGTCGAAACCAAACTGACGATTTAACGAGGCCTAAACTTTGTACGGTAGAGTGGGGGTTTGCATGTTTTTCATGGTTTGGGTCTATGCATTCAAATCTGTCTGTACTCAACTAGTCATTTGCGATTGCAGTTTCCTCTTGCGGTAGCACCTAGTACTCTCCTCACATGGCGTACTTGTGAAAGTTATTTCTGGTTATCTTTCTGGCTTATGGTTGAGGCATTTGTAGTGTACTATACCTGAAAACACCAATAAACTCACCTTATCTTCGGATCCGACAGATACGATTCATCTCCGAGCAATAACCAAACTTGGTTATTGGGTTATTCAACAGAGACCCACATATTGAAACTTCGCAGTTGATGTTACTACTAAATACATTCTCTGACGTGGTATCTGCAATAATACCATGGCGCTTCAAACTCCTAACCTAACTGGATCGAACTTTCAACTATTTGGTAGGTTCTGTGGCAAACATCGGTCTTGAGACCGATCCATGAATCTGCACATCCCGACTCCTTCCTATGCAACAACATTGTGCAAGGTCGCCATTTAGTTCATGATATTCAGCTCCACTATCTGGCAGTCGCCGTCATTCAGAGACGACGCATTCAGTTGGGATTGGTGAATTAACTTGATCTCATATAATTTTCTTCACTCCACAGGAAGGGTTGCCAGCCATCTTCACCAGGTCACGCTTGTAGTGACCACTGATTACGATATACCTAACCAATCGTCAGTGTTATGGTACTGTTTTATCTAGAATCCACTCTTTAGCCTTTGGGGGAGGCCTTGGCACCTGGAGGGTACGCCAAGTGGGTATTGAAAGTGCACGCCGAATTCATTAACTTGGCAAATGGGAATGTTGGTATCGACCTGACATAGATCTGCCTGTGGCCAACACCCCAACAGTCAATAGTCATCACGTACCACTTCGGATGCCAAGAATTTGTCTTGGCTGAATGAATCTCATATATTTAGGTAGGGTGCTTGTCCCGCTAAGCCACAGAAAATCAATCTGTAATACCACTTATGTACCAATATAGTCCTTCTGCCAACCATAGGCTGGTCATAATAAAGTTTCACTCTGAGACCTTTGGAAGTTAGAAAAGGAGCATCGCTTGCCCCTGGATAAGTTTTTTAGCCTTTAATGTGATGCTCATTAACGGGGAGAAATGGGCTCTTGCGAACACTGTGTCCGTGGCCATCGTGTCACATCCTGCAGATATCGTGGTAGGTTCAATTTCGGATAGGATTGTATACAGAAAGTACTAAAAGAACAAGATCGACCACTCCGTCGCATCAATAGAAGAGGCCGACCCTCCTCGACATGTTCGAAATGCTATGGTACGACTTGTACGAGGCCAGAAAAGCACACCAAACACAAAACTGCTACAAAAGTAGACACGCACCATAAATACCCTCATGGACCTTTACATAAGGCCCAGCGATCCTCGAGAGAGAGGAACACCCAATCAACCACACGGTCAGGATATCGCAGATTCCCAGTGCTATACTAATGATGGAATCTCCCGTCTCATATATAGAAATCTCCCAACCCACTGCTTTGCCGAACGACCTCATCATTCTTGCCTATCGTACCACGTCCAGTTGCGGGCCCTCCGGCTTGGGGTCCTGATCGTAATGGTCACAACCCCGCGTCCAACGCCTTTCGGTCGAGCACCGTGGCCATGTCAGGCCGCCAAGCGCTGGTAACAGTCAAGAAACCAACATCAATAACTGCATATTTTGGGGGAAATAGTTACCACTCATCTGGCTCCAAGGTGAACCTCGAACAGAACCATAACCCACCTCCATGTGCGCCAGAGCTCTCACAGCGTTCTGTATGGGAGGCGAGGACGAATGGTCAGGGTACTACGCACGGTTACTAGGGGCCAACGTTCCGAGCCCGGTTTGGTGTAACAAAAAAACACTGATCTGTCATGTTCGGGGTGTTCCTGAAAGCAGTAGAGATAGGCTATGTAAACTTTTGAGCCACATAGCAAAATGTAGTCTTTCTGACGATTTTTAAAGAGTCGCTGTTCTCCACTATCGTATGCCTCTGGCCTTGGCGCTAGCAGAATGAGAAATCGCATTACATCATCAATTATTGCTGTTCCTTGGTTAGTTATATACATGAGAGTCAGTTGTACGCCTGTAGAAGTGGGGGGTGGGTATATCGCCAAGAATTGCCAGCTTGCAACTTTGTTGATGGACTTGGGAACTCTTTGAACTTCACGAAGTATTTCGTGAACTTTTACCCCTTCATCGCTGTTGGCCAGATATTCTGTATCACTGGTTTGTTAACAGCCTACTTGGATCGAGTGTTTGATCGCGTGCATCATCCTCCGCCATATTGTTCGACATTTCATTATATGTTCATTTCGTTTCTCCTGCAGCTTCATTGCTTCAATCTGAATATCAGCAAGCCGCATGCCGTCATCCCGTTGAGATCCCACCTGGCGCACTGTTGTTGAAATACTGGGATGCTGGAGTGCCTTCATCCAGTTCTACAATTATATCTCAAGCTACTTGAACCTCCGGTATTTAAACGGGGCTGTAATAGCGAACCTAATTAAGCACTACTAACCCAAGATTCAATCATTCAGGAGGCAGTGGAGCTAGCTGAAGGTGATTTTTCAACGACAAGGGAAACGAGCCGGAGGAAAGCTTCCAGGATAAAGCGATTTGTACAGATTTATGGGAAATATTCTCATTTCTTGGAAGCTCCAAATATAAGGAAGTCCCTAGTATTCTGCCTTGCCTTCAATAGTTGCATAGTCCATAACAAGTATTTATTTACAAATAAATTTTAGAATATTTATTATCATTAAACGTTTTACGTATTAGATTTTAAATTCTATAATATAAATTGTTTAATATATTACAGAATCTAAGAAAAATATCAACATTCTCAAGAATAAGATTATATATATTATAAAATTATAATATATTCATTTGTAATTCCAGTTAATCGAGTCACCTAACCCACTCAAGCAAAAGGTTTAAAATTGAATGCTGAACGAATACTCAATCCAGTTAGGTGATATATTTATAGGGTAACCCTCCAGGACTACACATTATTAAGTTAATTATTATAATTTAGTCTTTCTTAATCTATAGTTAATTATAATTAAAAAATCTTGTAATCTTAATCTAATTAAGATCAGTTAGATTAAGCTACTCTAGTATATAGTGTGTGGAGAACCAATACAATATAGATATTTCTAATAATTATCCAATAGCTCTGTTTCCTAAGATTATACTGTATAAGATCAGTCTTGACTGGATTTAATACTTCAACAGTTATACAAAGTGTCGTATCTATCAAAAAGAGGTTCGATGCAAGAGATACAGGCAGGGCTCTGTATTCCACAAGGCCGAAAGATCAGATAATTCTGGATCATCGATACTAGACTGGCGTTTGGCCAGGTTAGGTTAGGTTATGGCTAGGTCACGGTGGGTAGGCTATACCACTCTAATCGATCCACAATACCCTGGGGTCACCTATATAGTATACCGCCGTTACATTAACTTATTCATACTATTAAGTATATATAATAGACCTATCTCTGGTACCTTGGACTAATATTTTACAGATTATATTTATCTTGCCTTATAATCTCGCGGTCACATTGCTGTTGCGGATCACTAGTGGATTTCTAGTTATTGTTGTAAGTCGTATCTAACCAATATAGCTACCTAGTCGCAGAGCCCTTGGATGAAGCCCCGGTATAACGTGTAACACCTGTGAGTGCACCTTTAGAAATGTCGAGTATATTATATTCTGTACCTTCTGCTACAGCCCGCTGCTGTAAAAAGAGTTGAATCGGCAAAAATGGGAATAGAGTGAATCCTCTCCTGGGAAATGTCTGAGGAACCCAGGGTATTATTAGTACTAAATTGTAGGTATTGCGACGGCAACACAATTGGAGAATCGAGGGCTAGTATTGCAGCACTATGTTCCAACAGCCTCTGGTGTATGAAGTTTCGTTTTTCCACTGCATGCTCCAACATCTCGGTCCACTTCTTAATGGAAATATCGAGATTCATTAATTCCTGCTCGCGTACTAACATTCGACCCTTCCACTTGGGACCAATCCAAGTTGCGGACTTGAGATCCCGGATTTTCTGCTCTTGGAGAATGCGACGATCTGATTGTAAGGAGATACATGTATCTTGGAGGTATTTGCAGTGGTCCTTTAATTTCTCTAGCTTCTTTTATCTGTCAGACTGATCCTCATTCAGAAGGATGATTGAAACAGTCAGAAGAGCATACCTGTGAAAATATTGCGACTTCATGTTTGCTTAGGACTTTAAGCTGCTCGGCGTGGCGTTTCGCATGATTTCGAAGTTCGTTCAATTCCGGCGCTGGCAGGGTCAAGTGAGCGTTGGGTGAGATCACCCCAAAATGAAGAATAATAGGCGAAAATTGTTGCGCGTTAACATGGAATTCGGCTTGCCTCTGTCGCTCTTGTTCTGTAGCAGGTGCATTCGAAGGAGTGCTTTCCGGTGAATGTTCTCTGCGAAGGGAGTTTCCTGTGGCTGACGATAGCTGACGTCTACAGCGGTATAAGAGTTGCTTGGATCCTTGTTGTGGTATAAGATAACAACAGCTGTTGGATGTAGGATGGCTTTGTAGAGGCGTCATTGTGGGTATTGTTTTCGCCTCAGTTGGGAGCACCGGCAGGGGCTTTCCCATTTCAGATCTCAGCTCCGTGGCAAGTCCAGGCACATTAGAGGGAACCTTCGAACTATCCATGTTGTTCTTCGAGTCGTTATGCCTGGGGTATCCGTCATTCTTCGGCAATGGTGTATCTCCTCGTGTACTGGAAAGAGCATTGGTAGCTTGGATGGGGTTGAGTATAGCTTTAAGAAAAGGGTTCTCGCTGGACCTGGCATTGGTTGGACCACTAGAATCATCGTTGATTGGATACCAACCGGGTATAGTTGCTGCAGGATTTATTAGTATATCCACGGTATAAATTGCGCGATCAAGTTTAAGTTTGGGACGAACGGGAATCCATATGATAATGATGTTGTGGGACTTGGCTGATTTCACCAGGTGAACAGTCCTTCAGTCGCGTGCTAGATATGGGCCCAGGGCTGCTTTTGCCTCTTGCAGCCCATTCTGTGCGATCTGTCGTGATCCTATCCAGGCGAGCCTTTGACGCATTCGTGGGCTTGCTTGTAACCCCTGTGCTACCAGCACCAAAGGATGCGAGTCTCTTGATAGCTGCCACACATTGTTGCCCTAGTTGATCTCGGACTTGACTGGCGGTGCAATCATTGCTTCGATACCCGGCCTATGTCAGTATTTGTAAGTTGCTAGTCATGTTGTGATATCCAATTGGTGAAGCTAGTGGGACTTACTGTTGTGTTAGATTTCCCTGAGCGATCAGAGAGCAAAGGGCTATGCGTACAATCATCTCGCAGCTCTGCCATCCTGGTGTTGGTAAACCAGTTACCACAAAGACGCAGCGGATATACTATAAAGCTGGGAAGGGAAACCTGAAGAAGCTATCCATATAAGATAGTTCTAGATTACCTTTGATACCAATTACTTATATATCGTACAAGGTTCCCGAGACGAGCATTTTCTACTTCAGTTTATGATACAATTCCATTGTAGCGGCAACTGAACCTGCATCCGGAAGGACCTTCTGTCTCAAAGAATGTAACCCTTCCATATTTGCCGTCTCAGTAACACGAAGTATCGTCGGCTCCAGTGAGACGGCAATAACTTGAATAGGAAGTTTGACCGAAAGTTCGGACACCTCGTGACGTATCTGGCGGATGGCGGATGGGATTTGGCATCGGCCTTGACTTAGTGTAGCTATCTTTCGAGCGGCTGATGCTAAGCGAGGTTCTTCGATGTTTCAGATTTCAAACCATACTACTGTTTTTTCCCGAGCGGGAACAGATGCTCGTACATGTTGGCTAAGTCACAGGAGAGACAACATGATTCGTGGTTCGGGATTCAAACCGACCTGGGCAGCCCCACCGAAAATTGTTGAGAACGAGAGCATCTCCACTTTGCAACTGAAAGTCATTCCTTGAGCTACAGGGGTTGCGTGGGGTTAGTCAGTACAATGCTTAAATGAGCAAGGTTACGACATGTTGCATAATGCAGTATTGGAGCTCATCTATATTATGCGTGCTACAATTATATCATATCCATGCTATCCAATACGTTCCCGGCTCAGAGCTAATCCTCTCACCTACTCCGTTCACCACTAGTGAAGCTCTGTGTAGCTCAGGCTGATCATCCCTAAATATTAAACCCTAAATCATGGACGCATTAGTTTTAGTTACAGTTGGTTCTCTCGACAATCAACGTATGGGGATCCACTGCTGACAGATAGGGTCCTCGCTTAGGACTGACTCCACTATTCCCACGTGGAAAATCTAGACAGAAGTGCGAAATAGTGCGTATCCTTTCCCGTGCCAACTCTGGATATCTGGCAGGTGGAGACACCTTCATTGTATTATGTGATCGGGACATACTACAGACATGGGAGTTGACCCCCAATATGTAAAATTGTTGCTGTACATAGCCTTTAGCTTTGGCGATTATATGAAGCTCGATTCGCTGTATCTTAGTAGGAATATGATTCCCGATCGCATTTCCTGAATCACTCAAAGCTTTTGAATTCAACCTCCTAGCAAATAGGACTACTGGTATATCAAATTTGCGATGTATCTGTAGTTCATCTGGTAGAGAGGTGATGTCCAAAACATGACGGACTTCTCCACATAGGGGCTCTGGAAACCAGCATCAGGAATGTGATACAGATGTCTTATTGGTAGTTGGATCGAGGAAAATGTTCAGGCTTTCGTATTCAACTCGAAGAATCGATGGCTTCCTTCTAAAGATGGTATAGCATCTTTCCCTCTTGAGATTTTAACATATTAATAATAGGGTTTAGACATTTTGCTACCCCTTTCACCGGGATTTGGAAATACGCTCTATTCAACACGTCCGATAAACTTTACTGCAAGGACTAATAGACATCTAGCTCCATAAAACCATTTAACTCGGACGAACTGACCGGATTGAAACACTAGAAGTGGCCCTTAGTAGGAATATCACCAAGAACACCAAGTATTAACGTATAGTGGTACAAAATAATGCAAGGGAAGGACATTAGAGTGGCGATGCTGAATGGACCTGGCCTGTTACTTGATAGTGTTATTATACCTTTGCCACTTTCTGTTCAAGATCCTACTGTATAGGGGAGCAAGTTACTAGATACATCATCATAATACCCTTTGCGCAACATCCCTCTATACCTATGTTTTAGGGCTTTCGGATTACATTGCGGCCAATATATTAGAGGACAATGCTTTCACGGACCAATACATAGAAATGAATCGACAAAGGCTGCGGGATTCGTATCACTTTGTTACCGAATACCTCCAGCGACGTGGGTTGGAGTATGAGCCTGGCTGTAATGCGGGCTTCTTCGTATGGGTCAACCTTGGGAAGAAGTACCTTGAAAATCGCCAGAAGACACAATATGATGGTCCGGACCTGACCCAGGAAATCGTGGATCGTCTTTGGAATCAGAAGGTCTTTCTTGCCAGTGGCAATGCTTTTGGGTCCGAGAAGCCTGGCTGGTTTCGCATTGTTACCTCCCATCCGAGAGCGTACCTGACAGAAGCATTGCGGCGCATTGAGCTTGCGATAGGGAATTAGATAGAAATCTGTTGGTCTTCCAGTTAGAGATATACGCTACTCTGCTATTGCAATGTGCGCAGGTCCTTCGTAGTCTCCCCGATCAGTATATCCCCGCTCCTCCGTTTTTAAATAATGATTTACACCGAATACAGTATATCCATTGTAATACCCCGAGGTGTTACTAGGTAGTAGTGTCTCCATCTAGCTTAGTTATCAAAATCACCCTTGCCAGCTTCATCGTCGGAACAAACTCGTCGATTTAGATCTCAGCAGGCTACGTATCTATCCGGATATGACAATGACTATTTATAACAAAAAGCAAAAACATACAACAGGAGGGATTCGCTGGTGGTCACCCACCCAACTACTAACCTCCCGGCGTGTGGCTTAAGTACGGCTGAGCGGACGGGAAGCCCTGTTTTCCACACCCTGTGATCGTATGTGCTAGATATTTCGTTCTAGAGAGTTATATACGACTTTTAGCACGTAAATAAAACTGCAGTTTCTATTTACCAGGAATGTACTCCGTATGTACGTCGATAAACACTCCGCCCTACAGATCTATCAACCCATCATACCTCAAGAGTAGTGATACAATAATAGCTTTAGTGAATAGCATGTTCTATAAAGTTGAATATTCCATTTTGTGTGCCGTATGTTGAACTTTTCGATGTCTATAATATTATATGGTTGTTTTTGATTACATAGTATAAGAAGGCAATGTATATCTTCGCGATGTCGAAAATATAGTGGAGAAGTAGGCCAAACCTGTCATAGCACAAGTTTCACCATTACAGTGCTAATTTCTTTCATACTCTGTTAATCTCTAATGGAAGTTAATTGTATGCCCAGAACGTTATGTGTAGTTTAGTTTTATCTTGTATAATCGTGAACAGAAACGGAAAAGGTAGAAAACAAAGCAATCTCATCACCAGAACTAGCGAATTGGATAGACTATTAGCAGTGTGCTATGCCTCATCGAAGTTTAACCTGCTAGTATCAACGTCTGCCACCATAGTTCCATGGCGGACGTTTCTGCTCAACGCGACCTCGGTCTCCGGCCGGTCGGTGAGGTAACTTGCTGCTACTAGCTTGATCAGGCTCCCGTGGCGAACGTGTATCTAGGGGGGCATTTTCCTTGGAGCGGGCCTGTGACTGAGCTGGGTATAGCGGCTGGGTAGACAGAGGAGGCCGAGGGGCTTGAGGGGGCTCTTCGTAAGGGTATCGCCAGATGTTGAAGGCCTCCACATACACGTTGTCCTCTGTCACTGGGATAGAAGTTTCACTGTTTGGATCCGTAAAGCCGATAAAGGTAAGGTCAACTAGATATAGCTTGTCTGCCACCTTATCGTAGCGTAGAAAACTGGGATGCTGCTCGTATAGCTTGTATCCATTTGTTCGCATGAGCCTATGGGATTGTGTGTTAGCATCACCTGTCATCACTAGGACAAAGGGTGTACCGGCAGCTTACTCTAATATACGAGCTAGCTGGCTTCTGATGCTGTCTAGCTGCCTGTCTGACAGTTCGTCGCGGATCTCATTGACATCCTCCCCGGGAACAGTACCCATGACAAGAAAGAAGACAGCACCTCCATAAAAAGGCCATCCACTACCTTGAAACTGCCCCCAGTGGGCTACATACTTCGGTCCATACCCGGCATCACTAAGACGCTGTGCAGCATCCACCTCACAGGAGAAGTGGTCTATAGCGATCTCCCTTTCTTCCTCGGGATCTTCGAAGTCGAAGTATTTCGGGTTTAATTCGTAACGAATCTTCACCAGATAGCGCTCCTCGGTCTTGATGTCATCTGCGAAGGCAAGAACATGTCGTTGGCCCATTCTATCATCAAGGACCTCTGTTAACTGCTCGTTGAGTTTGAGTTCCTTGTCATCGAATCTCATGACAGAACCGGTACAGTCGAAATCCCAGATTTCCTCATCCATGATGCGAGTGCAAAAGATGTGGGCAAGGTGGGTATTATTAAACGAGGGGCAGCTGGAAGGGGGTGTATGAACAGAAAATACTGTGGGAAAAGAAATTGTGTACTTTGTGGTGGCTTATGTCAATAGGCAACACATATATCATATTCACTTCAGAATCACTTCAGAATTACCTCAGATTCACCTCAGAGTCACCAAATCATTTCTTCTACAGACCCGCTACTAGTAGTACCTATTTATGGTTTCTATATACTACATATTACCAAATGCTCTTCACCAAGATCAAAATTCCATTTATTCACGATGCGAAAACAGGCCCGTTTGTATGCATTTACTCATTCATGCTGGGATAGGATCCCTGGGGCATTTTTAGCGCTACTATATATACCGCACCTAGAAATATTGAGCCATTTAGTGTTCAACATAGTGGGACTTTTTCACCTGCTTTGTAGAATGAAATCCCAGAGAAATCTATTACAGCTCACTGCAAGCCTTTATAACTCATACGGGTCGAGGAACGTAGTCCCAGGCTTGGGAATACAAGGCAGCAAGCATATAGCAACTGATTCACTTGATATAATGAGAAAGCTCTAACCAACCCCCTTCTTATCAAGGCTTTCTGGTCGTTTGACTTCCCAGCAGGTTTCTACTTTCTAGACAATTCCAACACAGCATCATCTGCCAATTAACAGCTCAGATCATGACTACCACAATGCTTCCAGCACAGCTTTCACAAGCACAGCACAATACTCTCTACTCCCCGCTTCCTAATCTTCGCACTGACGTGAATTTTGCGACGAAGCACCCCTCCAATTCCAGGTTTGTCTTGGATAAACGCCAGATTTCAAACTGGCCAGACTTTGAAAGGGAGATGAGGACCTACCTAGCTAAGCACGTTGGGAACATCGGTAAGTCCACAATTTTGAAGTCTGGTGAAACCTTCGGCGTCGGCAATGAGCTTGTTCAGGCGCGCTTTACCCAAAATGTCTGCCACGTAATTGCAGAAATGGTAGAGGAATTGGGCTATAAGGTCAATTTTGCGGATTACCAGTACGGCCGCAACAGAAGACAAGGGCAAAACAAAAGAAAGCGTACCCTAATTCGCTCGAGGAGAGTTCCAGATATCGTCGTGGTACATAGCCCGAGTCATGACATCCGCATCATTGGGGAGATCAAGACCGCGTGGACATTCAGGCCCAAGAAGAAGCAGCCCTGGGACGAGTTTTGTTGCTGACAAAACGGGTAAGTCATTGCTAGCATCTGGACGGAATGTGCTTCTGACGAAATTGGATAAGGGCAACTTGCACGCTACATGGACGACCATTACTGCCGGTACGGCTTCTTCACGACATACGACTACGCGTGGTTCCTAAGGCGAACTGACGCCTACCACTTTGTAATTTCGAAGCCCATTAGCTCCACAGCCCATAGTGGCCCAGCATCAATCTTTGTCAGGGAGTGCTTTAACTCTTTGGCAATTCGTGCCACCGAGGGTGCGTCGACAGCATGGCTGACTATGTTTGGTCACGAGCTTGTAGGTTGATAGACTAAGTTTATACAGATAGAGGCTAACAGAATTCCTATGGTAGACCAAATGTGGGTACCATCCACCTGGCCGAACAACAGCAGTGTCCATAGTAGGACAAGTGATTGCCAAACTGTGAGTGGGATCAGAGGTTTCCTCTGATGATGCTTTCGCTTTTCTTGAGGATTAAATCCACGCGCGCTTCGAGCTCATCCTCGTCGCTCTGCCGGTGCCCGGATCGTCAGTCCGAGCGTCCTCCCACGATAAACTCATACCTCAACGTGGTGTCGGAGTCTAGTAGCCGTGATGGCGCAGCTAAGATGAGTTTACTAGCAGCTATATCGAGCTGTTAGGTAGTTGATATAACAATCATAAGCTTTTCAAGTCGATATATTAAGTCTTGAGATTATTCAAATAGTGCTTTATCGGTTCATGTTGATAGAGGACTGCGTAGCTCAATGCAGTTCGCCTATAGGGATCCAAACGCCAGGGATCTCCCCCTTGCTTAACCAAGAATCTCACAGACTCCAGTGAGCCAGCCCGTGCAGCATACTGAATAGGCGTACAGAGCCCAAGCCTATAGTTCATTGGAAATTCCTCATAACCTTCATCGAGATAATCATTGGCCCTGTCCATCACGCGTGGGTTTTTATTGTATAGATATTTCAGGATATGTGGCCCGTCCAGATCATATCGCATCGAAGCGTAGTGCAGTAGCTGTCCATATTCGGCCGATCCTCCATACTGAAAAAGAAGCTCAATAATTGTAAAGGGAGCCTCAAAAACAGCATAAGACAATGGAGTGGCGTCTCGCAGCTGGCACCGTTTATTAGGGTCAGCACCGGGCTCGAAGAACCATGTCGCGAGGGCTAAGTCGTCGAAAGTATAACTAGGGTATGTTAAATATTAATTATATTTATATAAGGGGCTAGAACAAATTACATGAGTGCTGAAGGTACTTTGTTATCATCGCGGATTCCGTGGTAATATCCCAGCCATAATCAAGAATCGACTAAAGGATGTCGTACTGCTTCTCTCGGGTTGCTTTGGCAAATAGTTCAAAATTCATAGGCGCGCCTGTATCCAATAACTGCGTGACACGTTTGGTATTACCATTCTCTATCGCTGCCAACAACTGGTTTGGAAGGTTGTCCATCCTACTGGTGGAGCAGAACCAGGAGAATGGCGAGAAGGACGGAGGGAGGAAACTTCCTGGCAAGGTTTCGATATTTGATCCTGCCTTGCAGTTACCTGTCATGTGATAACATCTACTGTTGGTTAGCTTGCCCAATGTGGACTATCTTTCTAGATAGAAATATTTAGTATTTTAGTATCTAAGCAGTTCACTAGAGTTCATCCACTCTAGGTCCTTCACTCCAGAGCCCTGTACACCTCATATACGCTTGGAACCACCAGTGGCCAGTATTTGGAGATTGGCATGGCACAAGCACCGTCTATGCAGTTTCATAGTATCAGTCAGGCTCGTTTGTATCCGTTGAAAGTCATATTTTGCGGATTCCCGTTGGACGTGTATGATCACATACAAGCCGAAATTCCACGTTGCCTGAGTTGCTTGTGTAGCGAATACAATAAATCTGACTACAACTGGGCACCGAATCGTACTATTGAGAAAGCAAGAATATTAGAATTCAGTGGTCTGTGCTGATCATCGCATACTAGTATTTCATTTTATATATACTTAAAGTTTCGTATGTTGAGAATGTGGCGGCGGCCGGTCGATTGCCCAAGCATGTCTAACTGGTCTAACTGGCAGTCGGTCCAACTGACATTGATGAAGTGGAGGCGGAGTATAGCTTATCGTGGAGATTCCTTATTTTATCTCCAAATAGGTATTTGAGAGTCAAAATAGTAATGGTCGTCATCAGTTGGCAGCCTTGAAGATTCGTGTTAACTCCGTGTCAGCCTCGACCGGATTTAAGATGGCTTACGGGGTCAGCCCTGAATGTTTAAATTCATAGCAGCCCCTCGCCGGAGTTGTGAGGAATTTTGACTCTCTACTTTGATTTCTTCATTGAGCGAAGACGAGTCATTACTTTCTATAATTCTACATACAACATGCGTCTCATTCTCACAGGTGCCACCGGCCTAGTCGGATCGGCCGCCCTCAACCATATTCTCTCTCTTCCGCCCGGGGAAGTGTCGCACTTGTATATCCTGAGCCGGAAACCTGTGCCTGCCGCCGAAAATCGACCCGATGTTACTGTGATCGAGCATAAGAACTTCAACGAATACACCCCTGAACTACTAGAGAGATTAAAGGGAGCCGATGGCTGTATCTGGGCGTTGGGCATTTCTCAGACACAAGTATCAAAGGAGTGAGTACAACTAATACGAGACCTGAATAATCCAGTCTCTAGTAAAGTAAAGCGATACTAATATCATGGAACAGAGAATATGTGAAAATCACAGTCGACTACCCATTAGCAGCAGCAAAGGCATTTTCAGGGTTATCAGACTCCTTCAACTTCGTATATATTTCCGGGGAAGGAGTATGTCTCGCGGTTAGCATGATTTCTGGCTGTCAAACAACTAACATGAACTCAGGCGACACAAGAACCAGGAAGGTTCACTCCATACTTTGGTCGGATAAAAGGGGAATGTGAATCTGCATTGATCGCCCTATCCAAAAAGTACCCCAGTCTGAAGCCCTACTCCGTCAGACCTGCGATCGTAGACGCAACGTTCGACCCTCCGACACTGGCAAATGTCATGCAGCGACCGGACCACACTGTTCTCAAAAGAGTTCTCTTAGCAACTTTGGGTCCCGTCACAAGACAGCTCTATTCCAAAGGTATCTCGCCGACGAAGGACCTCGGACGGTTCATGACGGACCTAGCCAAGGGCAACGGCCAACCACTTACAGGAGATGGAATCAGCGGAGATGGATGGATTATATCGAACGTTGCATTCCGGAGAGCAGCGGGGATCTAACCCGATCTCCCAGTCTCATTTTCATGTACTATTTATATATAACCCCCCAGCTCTATCTCAAAATACAGAACCAACCCTCATACCAACCGATTTACCGCCGATACCCATAATGCCAATCCTCCCTCGCCAGATCCTGCCTGACCTGATAAACCCCCTCCGCCTCATCCAAAACTCCCATATCAACCTCCACAATACTCATCCCCTCATCACACCCCTCGACCCTCCCAGCACAGCCTACAAATGGCACCGCCACCTGGGACGCACCAGCATAACCGTCCTCCTCTTTCCCGCCAACATTACAAAACACAACCGCCGCAGTATTCTCAAAAGCCCGACTCACAATAGCAGCATCAAGAAACACCCTCTCCGACTCGGGGTTCCGCCTCTTCCCCACATCCCCGGCATCGTCCAACTTCCAATAAGCAGGCACAATAACCATCTTCGCCCCCTGCATCACCAACTCCCGGAACGCCTCCGGAAACGCCAAGTCCCAACAAATGAGCAGCCCGACCTTCCCCAGCGGCGTGTCGAACGCGACATGGCCCGAGTCGGTCGCGCCGCGGTCGATGAACTCGCGCTCCGGGATCCAGAGGTTCCTCTTCTCGTACCGGCCGCGGACTTCCCCCGTGGAGTCGATGAAGTAAGCTACGTTCAGGAACTTTTCTTCCCCGGTGACCGGGTCAGTACGCAGCTCAGCGATAGACCCTGGGACGATGTTAATGGCGCATTCCTTTGCGAGGGCGACGTAGGACGAGAGATGGGTAGCGTAGTTTGCGCAGCGTTGGCGGATGCTGCGGTCGTGGGAAGGGTGGAAGTCCGCCAGGTGGAATTCGGGGAGGACGGCCAGGTCGGCGCCAGCGTTTGAAGCCTTGCGGATGTAGTCCGTTGCGCGGGCGAAGTTATTTTCGATATCGTGGGGCTGGGGTTGGGATGTTAGATGCTAGCGGGTTTCAGGATGAGGGGGTGGGGGTGGACCTTACCTCCGGGTGGAGTTGGATGAGTGCGATCTTGACCATTTTGGGTTCTGGTCGTTTTATCCTGTCAATTTGTGTGTATGGATGAGTTGCGATTGTTTGGGGTTGATAGTGCTGTATGCTCCTGATGGCGTTTTATAGGCGCGTCGATTCCGCGCGAGATTCTAGATCGCCGAAGATGTTGTAACCCTATCCTGGCGCCGAGGGTTTCGCATAAACCTTGATTGTTGGCGGAGATGATGTGACTTGTTGCCTGCTCCGAGGTTGTATTAGAATTTAGGGTTGTCTGGGGTCCGCGGAACCCCGGAACTGTCTGGTGGAGTCGTTCCGGGCGTATCTATTAACAAAATGAGGAAGGATTGACCTTGGCTGGCGAATTTGTTGATTAGATGGCCTGAAAGTTATTAACTAACTATACTTTATACGAAGGTTCTATGGCTAGGACTAAAGTCTGGAATGTTGATGTTTGTGATAATTCAATATGCTGACTACGGTGGAGTACATGATACGGAAGAGCGAGAGCAAATGTGGATCGAATGTGATGGCTCGCGCTAGAATCAGGAATCAATTCCTGAGATCCATCTGCCGTTCGGCATAGTATCGATATCTCTTCGCCGTCATAACCCGGAATCTCTTTCCAAAGTAGATGAAGACCAGATTTCCCGACAGGATTACGGTGAGGATAAAGCCGAAGGTTATGTAAAAGCCCGTCAGCCCGACACTCGCGATCCACGGTGTCAGAGCGAAGACGAAGATCGTCGAGATGAGGTTGCGGATGAAGGTGACTCCGACGAGAGAGTCGGCGATTACCTGTTAAAAAGCATCTGGTTAGCACGCCCAATAGTAAATGGTCACATATGTTATAAACTTACATCTGTATATGCATCTGTCAGATACGTCAAGGCGACGCTGTTAGCCGGAATAGTTCCGAAGATGGCGATGCCCAATCCAACGGCCACCAGCGGCCAAGGGGATCCGTTGTTGAGTCCAATGCCGAACATGAAGAGACCGGCCGGCACGAATGGTATGAACGCAACTGCAATCCAGAGTCTCATTTCGGGCTCGAAAACGCCTCGGTTTCTTTTCGCTAGATATAACACAAGCGAATCGCTGAGTCGCCCGGATATCAGAACTGCAATGCTGGTGCCAATGAATGGAGGAAGCCCCATGAGGCCTATTTGCGAGGCGTTGAAATTGTAAGGCGGCTGGGTCATGTACGAGGAGAGAGTAGTCACCGAGACAGTGACGGCGGCTGTCATGGCCCCGTAAACGACGGACATGAAAAAAATGGCGGGAACAGTAAAGAGAAGAACAAAAGGCTCAATGCTGTGTCGGGCCATGCTGGCAAATGACCCAGAGGATATTGACCATAAGGCGAGCTTTTTCCAGTATGGCTTCGTTGGGATTGAATGATCGATCCAGTGAGTCGCATGAGACCTTTGAATCTCTCGTTCTTTATGTGCTATGTTGGCCTCGATTTCCGGGTCGGTCGGAGACTTCTTGTCCTCACCTTCAGGAGATGGGTTTATTTGAGTAGGAGCAACAACGGGTGGAACGCCCTCGAGGGTCAGAGAGAATTTCGTTTCCTCGTAAAGGAAGATAAAGGCAACAAGACCGGCGCCCATCAGAATAACCATCCACCACCACACCCAACGCCAGCCTTGTGAGGTAACAATATACCCACCTGCCAGTGGGGACAGCGTAGCTCCGACCGTCATGAACCAGACATAAATGCTATTCATGAGTCCACGTTGATGAACAAAGTAGATATCAGCCACCGTCATTTGCACGAGCACTTCTGCGAGAGCCCCAACCAAAGAGCTCAGTATATTGGCCGACATAAGATCAGCGACCGTGTGCATTTTTGCTTGCCAAACACAGAAGGCACACTGAGCGATAGTGCTGAACACGTAGACAGGTCGGCGACCGTATTTGAGAGCGAACGGTATCAGAATCACGCCGCCAATACAAAGGGATCCGCACCCGGCGGCGTAACTATCATTTAGGAGCTCAAAGCTGAAACCAAGTTCCTCATTTAGTGGGCCCCAGGTGACAGTCGCCACGTCGATTCTGGTTGCTCAGCTCCGCGTCGTGTTTCAAGGGATAACTCGCAAGACACTTACATTGCGAAAACCATTATGACATAGTAGGAGACTAAGCCGAAATTCAAATGTTTACGCCATGTTGGCCAATTCTACATGGCGTTGTTTAGCATCGTGTTAGTGATTGTGCTCTCAGAGAGGCTTACCAGGGGGTCGTTAGGATCATGGCTAGGTACGGGCTGCAAAATGATATCGGTCGTTCGACCATCTTGTGGAAGCTCTAAGTGGCATTAGCCACGGATGAGAGATCATAACATTTCATAAGTGTCAGACTCACCTTCAAGCTGAACCGTTCCAGGTGGCCAGGATGGATCGGACGCGTGGGCTTGGTGCGACATCTCAAAGGAAGTGCTATATGCCGTCTCAGCTTTTTTAGATTGCTACGGACGGCACCTCTACGACGAATCTGTAGAACATATGTCAACTAACATAACAGTAAATACTGGGGAGACAAGACACTGATATATGACAGCCTCTGACGGTAACGCATGTCGGACAGATCCGAGACAAGCAAGGACACGGCAGATAGCCCTATCCTTCGGGAAGAGTACATTTGACATTACGCCTTGCTACGCTGTCAAACAATTGGCTTCCCATGCACATCGTTAGCACGGAGGAATTCCGCAGGAGGGGGAGAAGCAATCTTGCCCGAGAAGGGAAACGGTAAGCAAGGACCAATGAGCTCTATCTTTACTTCTTAGTTTATCTCTTGGTGTCTCCGATGCGGGGGATTCAAGCAAGATAAGGAGATAGGGTTCCAAAATACGAACAATGGCCAATCTTTGCGCCTGCCAAGGCGAAAGGAACCGGAAGCCTGGCATCTCAAGTATAGGAATGCAAATGAATAAACAGACTACCAGTTTTAATAACAGGCAGGCTAGAAAGCTCCTCGACCAACCATTGCTTCCACTCTCCTGGAGATTTATTTTCGGCGGGTTCATCCTATTTTTGCTGTACTCCTAGTGCGATGTCTTCAAGCCCGACCAGCCTTGCCCTCCGACATGAGAATGAGCATCCAAGTGACTTATCAAGCATGTGATTAGTGCATGTGGCAGGGGGTCAATACATGTTAGCAACACAGAGGGACCATATGGATAGAAAGCCAGTAGTAAACTGTATGTCCATTTCCAACGTCTGTTGACCTTATTCCAACAGAAAAAGTGCATTAAGATCAATACTGCCATTGTCAGTCAGATTACTCCCAGTAGTCTGGAAGAGTAAGCACTGCCCTATGTCATTCTGCAGTATAGCCTTTCGATGATAGAAAAGATCACTGAGCCAGAAAGGAAAATCTCCAAAAGGTCCTAGACTATAAACCATACCGATATATAACCTCCGCATATTTCATAACCTCGACAGATATCATAGATTCCGTACAATGTTATCGGTCGCCACCGAGCCAGAGTGGGGGTGACACATTGACTTGTAGCGTAGGTAACGTTCAAGATAGTTGAATGACCTGAATGACATAGCGGCCATAGATCATGGTGCAGCACTATGGCCTACATTTAGATTACGTCCCTCATAAGAAAGGCGAAGGTGTTGTTCGGGTCCATCATCGAATTCGTCTCTGAGAACCCTTCACTACTTGGTGATTCCTCTTCATGTTCGATCGGCATAACCCACTGCGCAACTTGTAGGCTAAGTATATGACCCTGCCGATTAAATTTGCAAAGTTTAGCACCTTTGCAGGTATCCTTCTGACAAAGGTGACCAAGGTAACATTTAATCGAACGACAGCCGGCGCCCCTTAGGCAGATGTGCTGTCGCATGATATACATCAAAACAGTGAGACACGCCGGTTCAATTGGACTGTGGTCAAACTCGCAACTCAGGTTCCCACATTCCCCTCCAAGGTGGTATTTGTTGCAGAGTTTGTGCCGTTTGGCACGTTGGCAATACACCTCCCATTCTTCTTGAGATGGCATGGGACAGTAGGTGTCAATCCGCTCCCCATCCTTGTTGATTGCGATAAATTCCTGGGATTTTGAGTTCACCCTGGGAAGAAACCGGGCATAGTACCCTTGTTCCCGGGGTTTGATGGTAAAACTCACCGGTTGAGTCGGAGTATCATATAGTGATTTCGGGAACTGTTGGTTGGGCATTATATGGAGCTTTGTGCAGTCCTTGCCAAATCGGCAGATACCCTACTTACTCAGTTAGATGGCGTTCGCTAGATCATTTTACTAAGGTACCTTTTGGAAATGCCTGCAAATTGGTCTAGTAGCAGGAGTCACATTGTTTCCACCCACAGGCGGCGGCGACGTGGAGGTAGATGCGAATACGGCAGAGATCTCCTTCACTGGTAGGTCCAGCTTGTCATACTCAGGGTGGAAGGAGGCGGCTTTGATTAGGGTGATACGATCAGCCTTGCCACGGTATGGGGTCAGTAAGGACAGATAGCCAGCATCGTGACAGCCAGCGAAGAAAATGTGCTTGCATTGGTTATTGTCCGCAAACAAGCGAAACATTTCTGAATAATGTGAGTGTACTGGTACACGGGTAGTTAAGCTTGATCCTACCTCTGATCTTATAGTCGGCACCTTCCTTCTTGTCGCCGGCGTCAACATAATCGAACAAATCCTGAGAACGAGTAAAGCTGGATGCAAACGGTGAGAGGGACCGCGCCTCATTGCCAACTAGACCGGCGCGGGCCAAGGCTTTCGAAAGTCCTAGAATGTTGCTGTAAATGCGAACCATAATTCGACATTGATCTGCTTGGCTTCCAAGTTGGTCACTAAGAAGCTCTTTGATAGAATCATTCAGAAGTTGAGCTGCTTTCGTCCCTCCTTCTGTCCCTTCTCTCATCAGGTGTTCCTTGAACTGGTTTCATTAGTACTAGTAGTCACCATCGCGGCTAGGGTATAGCTAACAAGGTAGCCATCACCATCCACCAATACCAGCACGAATGGATTACGCTCCTAATTTCAATTAGAGCTTGTCTCTGTGTATGTAGTACTTCTTATGTCTGTTAATGCAAAGGATTACCTACTTGTCCTCTAGCTAGTTTCTTATACTTCTCTCGAGCTTCTTTCTCCTCCTCATAGTCGCTTTTCAGTCGGTTGTAGTTATCCAATAAAAGATGAAATTGTTGCAAGAGGCTCTGGAG